AGAAATAATCACTGTGATGGAGGAACTACTTCTACACTGAACTACTGAAATGTGCTATAAATTGATATATATTTCACGTTTCTCCATGGAACAATATCAACAACCTCAACTCTAAATAGCTCTTTAAAATATCAAGACTCGGTTTGTATAAATAAGTAGTCCTGAGCTGTGGAATTTTAATGTTCGATTAAAGACAGTTTCTCCAAAGAAAAGTTTTACCCTGCAAATTTATTTTTATGTGATTATGGTCCATTTTCATTCCTCACAGCTTGAGTGCTGCATCCAGGTTTAAACAGAAGTAAATTGCAAACTATTCTTTAGTGTTTTGTGCTAAACTAGAATCTCTGCTAAAATAAAGCACCACTAGGGCAAAATGCATGTTCATTACTCTGAAAGCTTCTCTGTTATTTTATCACCCACTTTTGTAACATAATCGTTTTCTAGCTTATCAGTTGTAATGTAAATACCTGGTAAAAGCTCTGTTTGGGGTTGTACCTGGCTGGGACATTACGTAACTATCTATGTGTCCTCCCTCCCAAGCACCTGTGTTTAAGGCACCATGAGGCACCAGGCACCAGGAGACAGAGGGACATAGGATACACCTCTGCCCTTAAGGAGGCAAGTCTGGTTGGGGAAACAGACCTGCTTGTCATCATGAACCAAACACTGGAGTCAGTGCCATGACAAAGGTATAAAGAAAGGGCTTTAGGAGCACAGAAGGGTGATTACTTTTGCAAGCAATGGAGACTTAAGGGAGGTAACACAGTGGAAAAGCTTCTGAGCTCAGCTCTAAAGAATGAGTGGGATTTTGATAGGCAGGAACCACATGGCAGGTCATTCCAGGAAGCAGAAACAGCAGGAGTTGGGGTAGGAGTGCTAATTCCTGCCATAATCAGTAAGTGTTCTGTATGATGCCTGAAGGATGGTAACAGAAAGTAGGTAAGTGTGGCCAAATTTTCCAGGGTCATATATTTTACATTAGAGAAAGTGAGTTTTTATCTGAGAGATCAGATGGTAGGGGTGTGAAAGCCGTTCCTCAAACCAATGAAATCAGTTAGAAAAGTAACCCCAGGAAGAAATATCAAGCTCATGACCTAGGACCATGGCTGTGATACGAGAGAAGATAGATCTGAAAGGTCCTATAGAGACAGAATGTAATGGTCTGAGGGTCCGATTCGATGTGGAGGTTGAGTGAAAGGAAAGAGTTGATGACCCTAAAGTGTCATGACTGGGTGCCTGGGCAGATAGGAAGATAACTCTAAAGATAAACAGTTTTCTATATAATGATTTAATGATATAATGATTTAAGTTAAGGACATGTGTTATAGTGCAGCAGAAGATACAGATGGAGATTTCCAATCTAAAAACTAGATAGATTTTAGAGCTAGAGAAAAAAGTCCCTGAGTCCTCTTTTCCCATGAAGGTGAACACTGGGAGATAAGATCACCCATAAAGAACAAGCTTAAGATCTGGAAACAGCCCCAGTGCCCATCAGTAGAGGAGTGGATAAAAATGCTGTGGTACATTTACACAATGGAATACTATGTAGCTGTAAAAAAAAAGCTCTCTTACCCTTTGAGACGACATAGAGGGACCTAGAGAGTATTGTGCTAAGCAAAATAAGCCAGTTGGAGAATGACAAGTACCACATGATCTCACTTATATACAGAATCTAATAAACGAAATAAACTGACAAACAAAATAGATCCAGAGACATGGAAGCAGGGAACAAACTGATGAATCTCAGAGCAAAAGGGGGTTGGCGGGGAGGAGATAAACCAAACAACTTATATACATATATTCCTAAACAATGGACACAGACAATAGTGTAGTGAAGGCCTGGGAGGTGGCCAGGAGCAAGGTGGAGGGGGTCAATGGGGGAAAAAAGAGGGGGGGACATCTGTAATACTCTAAACAATAAAGATAAATTAAAAATAAAAAAAAATGTATATTTAAAAGAATAAACCTACAGGGTCATCTCCAGTTAAGTAGTGGGGTCTCTATGTCCCCTGATCATTTTAATATTTTCTGTATTTAATCTAGTTTTTATTTTTGTAATTTGAAGTTTAGTGTATATTTAATAACTAAGAATGGAAATCTAAGTTGATTCTTATAACAGAACCAATAGCGAAATAAAACTAATAGATAATATTTGTATAACCCTCTATAGTGTTCAGAGCCCTTTCATATAACACAGAGAATATAGGTCTCAGTGAAAAAAAGACATTATCAGCAATGCCTTCCAGCCTCCCTTCTGAAACATCAAACCCCAATATGTTGCATGAGTTTTCTTCATTTATGACTGGCTCTTGGAATTATTTATGGAATTCATATGGAATTATCTCATCCTCACAACATTCCAAATAAGCAGGTCTGGTCCTTGTGTTGCAGAGGAGAAAGTCAGGAAGACTGATTTGGTACAACTAGCATCACTGTACTTGTATTATAAAGTAACCCAAACTTCCATAATCAAGTTACCCAATAAATATTAATTATCTACTGCTATGACAATTTATCCAAAACTCAGCAGCTGAAGACAACGATAAACATTTGCCATCTCACACAGTTTCTGCAGGAAACTCTGAAGTGGCTGACTGCATGGTTGTGGCTCAGGGTCTTCCATGCAGTTACAGTCAAGGTGACAGCCAAAGTTGCAACCACCTGAAGGTTTGACTGACGCTGGGAGATGGGTAGCTCATGTGCCTGGCAGGAGGCCTTAGTTCCACATTGGCCAGGTCTCTCCATAGAGCTGCTGGAGTGTCATCACAACATATAATCTGCTTCCCTCAGAGGGAGTGATCCAAGGGAGCAAAATGGAAGGCACAGTGTTATTCAAGGTCCAACCCCTGAAGTCACACTCCATCATCTCTGCAAAATCCCGTTGGTTACACAAGTCAGTCTGATTCAAATGAATACCAGGAGGAGAGAATATAATCGTTGGGGTCACCTGGAAGTCTGATTACCACACATATTATTGATCTCTGATCCATTTACTGTGTACTTGCAAGATTTATGATTCATTTTATACAAGTTACTCTCCAAATAACTGTTTTTCTTTAAACGTTGTATAATTCGGGATTTGGATAACATTTTTTTAAATTCATGAAAATGTTTGAGGCCTCTAGTATGCAAAAATGTACAAATAGTAAACAGTGGCTTTCCCAATTAAAAAAATTAAATGAGGAGGTGCCCAATCACACTTGGTAATGAATGAAATCTTTAAATGGACTTCCCATGTCATTTATCTGTTTGAATAATTGAAATAAATTGCATCCAACAAGTCCTCTGGAAATCACCCAAGTGAATAGAATGTACCATTAATCAAGATGCCAGTTAAATGAATTCTATGCTTTTGGCAACTGCACAAGGGAAAGAGTGTATATTTTCCACCTTATATTTTATGATTTTTAAAGACATGATGGGCTGGTAGAAAAACGTAGTTTACATGAAGCTTTCATGTGTTGCATGAACTCTCAGTAACTAGTTCCATTTGTGAAATGGTGATAGTGTTGGCTAGAAGGGTAGCCCTCGCTCACCCATCACAAAACGAAGGCTCTTTGCCCTGGTGCAAAGTTTCTTATCCAAACCTATAAACATGCTGGAGTGTCCCATCTAGCAGAAACCTTGCTTTTGCTCCTATTTAAGCTATTGTCCCATCTCACTATTTGTGTGCTGTCAAATTTAATGAACGATAAGCCAATTCCTCAGCCACACGTTCCTCATCCCCACTACTCTCCAGCCTTCACATCCTCTCTTATGTTCTCTGCCCCTTCTCTGCTAAAACTGTCCTTTCAGTCAAGCAACTGCATGAACTTGGCAGCATCGGATGCTATTGGTAGCCCCCCTACTTCCTAAATCTTTATTTGTGGTACACGACTATGCACTCTGTTGATCTCCGTGGATCTCTGCTGTTTCTTCTGTCTTCTGATGGTCATAAATTACAAACAAAAGTAACATTTTTGTTTCTTGGCCACAGTCCTCAGCCTAGCCCTCTGTGCTGTCTGCCTTTGTGTTCCCATTTTTTCGCCTCAGCTCCAGCCACCTTCTCAAGGTGGACATGTTCTGCATCTGTAATTTAAATTCTGATCTCTCACCCAAGTGCCATGTCCTTATAGCATTTTAAACTTAGTGTAGAACTGAACTAATCATTCCTATTATCCTATCACATTTTACCATTTCCCTAAATGGCATCACTATGCCCAAAGTCACCTAGATAACCATTCATTTGGACCATTTCATCTCCCTTGCACTTAACATTTTAAAAATCCCTGTAAGTTCTGCCTTCCTCCTGTCTTTTGCATCCATCACTTCCCTCGTCTCTACTCCCACTGCTGTACACAGTCTACACCTCTTGCCCAAACTCTGGGAGAACCCTCTCTCTATGCAAAGCTACTAACGTCCAAGTTTCTAAAGCAAGTTCAGTACATGACTCTTCTTGTTCATACAGGCTTGTCCTGAATAGCCCGTACTATTTCCCTTGCCAAGAATCAATCCTTTCTCTATTTCAAATTCCCCAATTCACATCTATATCTCCAAGTCAAAATCAAATACTCTTTCTCCATAACTTGATCCTCTCATATCGCTAAGCATTCTATACCCTTTGGGGCACATCTTGTTTTATTTTGTACTACCTGTCTTTAATCTTCCCAACTAGACCGTAAGAGGCCTTGGTCTTATTTTATTCAGATGTTTCCACCCACAGTTAGTTCTATGGGGATTTGCAGCGTGTAGATTTATTATTGGGTAATTGACTCTTACTAACAAGATTTTTTAAAGACCTAACAGCATATTGAATGCATACTCATATATTTTGTACTTCCATAAATTGATTTGAGAGCATTTTCCATCCCATTCAACTGTGCCTAATCATCTCTGGAAGCATATTGGACATGGCGGAAGTAGCGACTGTGTGTGGAGACCGCCGTAAATTGGGCTTTCATCTGAGCTGCATCATATTCTCATGGCCCCGCATGCAACTGATCTGCCACTTCTCATTTCAGGGAGAGTGGAGAAGAAAAGGGAACCAAAAGCAACTTCAGGTAAGATTTTGACTAATTGGCTTCAGCTCCAATACCTACTTTTATTTCCACTTAAAAAAAAATCTCTTTGCAGTTTAGTATTCAAGATAATAGTTTATGGTCTTTGAATTGATTGATACCAAATGAATTAAAACAAATTAATCCATTTAGCTTTTTCACTTCATATCAGTCATTTCCTTTTCACTCTGTCATTTTAGTAATAAATGAAATAGAATGTTATTTATTTTTATGATTATCTGTTAAAAGGTAAGTCTTGCAACCACCAATTTTAAAATATGAAGGTTGTAATAGTTGACAACTATTTAATTTCCACAAATACTTATGAATTTCAGTTTTTTTCTTAAAGCCATATATGTAGTTTGAAGTTTTTCAGGACAGTGTTGACTAACGGAGAGAATCTTTCTATTTTAGTGATTATTTTATTTCTAAATCCTAATATGTATTCAGACGTGAATGGTGCTTTAGCATAGTGCCATTGCACCTGGTAGTGGGTCATTATTGCTAACTAATACAAAAATAAGTTTTTACATTTTCATATTTGCATTGCATGGCTTTTGGCTTAAAATTGTGTGATAAGATAGCCCGGCTGGTGTGGCTCGGTGGTTGAGCATCAACCCATGCACCAAGAGGTCACCGGTTCAATTCCCAGCCAAGGCACATGCCCAGGCTGTGGGCCCAATCCCCAGTGGGGGGCATGCAGGAGGCGGCCAATGGATGTTCTCTCTTATCAATGTTTCTATCTCTCTCCCTCTCCCTTCCTCTCTCTATAATGAATAAAAATTGTAAGATAAAATAAATTTTTATTTACCAAGTAAATCTTTACATGGGAACAGTCTTCTAGCTCTCAATGCCCAGAAAGTTCCAATAATCAGAGAAAATGTTTGACATATATGCTTATTCTCACTACCCCTCCCAAGTCTCCACCAAGCCATTGTCTACAATCTGTGAGAGCTGCCAACATGAAGACACATTGTCCCAAACCACCATCTTCTTTCAACTTTATTTTTTTAGGGGGAAGACGGGGTCTAGTAATATGTATTATATGTGTTTCCAAACAGTCAATGTAGTCCATAGAAGACAAAAATCAATAATAATCTAAAAGTGTATAAACAACCTAAACCTGTCTCTTTTCTGCTTCCCAATGTTTGCATTCATATCAGACAACTGGTCAACAACTTATTACCTGCACAACTTCCCTCTTAAATGTTGTTTACATTTTTTTTGTGTATTTTCTTTAACCCTGATCATGGACACATATTTTTTTTTAAGTGGCCCAACCAGGGTGGCTCAGTGGATTGAGCATCACCCCAAGGACTGAGAGGTCCCGGTTCAATTCCTGGTCAGGGCACATGCCTGGGTTGTTGGCTCCATCCCCAGTAGTGGGTGTGCAGGAGGCATCCAATCAATGTTTCTCTCTCACATTAATGTTTCTATCTCTTCCTTCCTCTCTAAAATTTCAATAAAAACATATTTTTTTTAAAGCAAAGGCAAAAAAATATCTGGTCTCCTCACAAATGTGGTTACTTCATTATTGTATTTTGAACAAAAATTATTTATGCTGCTTAAAATGCTATTACTCTGATCCTCTAGATATTGGCTTCTTTGATTAAAGAGCTGTATATTTCAGAAAATAACTGAATTGGCCAGTGTTAAACCAGATGCCTCTTTAGGTTTCCTCCATATCCTGGCTCCTAATATTCTATATGACCAACAGCTAGTGGAAACAGGCAGGACAGGAACTCAGGTTTCTTTATTCATTCTTTTCAGTGTCCCACCATCATATCTTCTTTCAAATCAAAGTGCTAATCACTTTGATACTGCATTTAGTTTCTTGCTTAATAAAATGTTCTTCAACAATTAGAAAAAAATTTTAAGGCTACAGCATCTTTGGCTGGGAATGTTATCAGGGATCTAAGGAAACTCTCTTTATTAATGGAGCTAATTTTCTCCAACTGATTCACAGTTGTTAATGTGTCTGATTTTTATGAGAAAATGTAGTCAAGGATAACTAATGGACAGGGCTCAAATTATCAGAGAAAATTTTTAGGATCCTCATCATTTCAAAGAATATAAGTCCTGCCCTGAGGAAATCTATATTTGTGAAAATTATCTAAGTTTTCAAAATTGGGATGTAACCTTTACCAATATAGTCATAAATATCACCATGTTCAGTGTATGATACTAGCCTGAATATATGCATCTCTAGATAAAACAATGCCTAAGATACCAAAAATATCATGGGCATTCTCTTCTGACTTCCTTTCTGGACTTCTTTGTATTATTTGTTGTTCATTCCGCTCAGATTCTATGTCCTGCCTGATGGATTAAACTATACATCCCACAGCCTCTGGTTTATAGTGAGTCTATCTCCCAGCTATGGGAGATCAGTATTAAGTCCTGTCCCTTTCAATCTACCCCATTCTATTGCACTACTTATGATTGAAACCAAAGAACTTAGGAAAAAAAGTATTGTAGACAAAAATATTCCCCATTAGTACATGGACTCCCAAGACCCTTTGGTCTTGGGATGTTTTGGTTGGTTAAGGCTGGTTAAGTCGTTGTTAAACAAATCTTGCAGTAAGATGAAATAGAGGTAAGTTTTTGTTCAGGATAGGAAATAACTTCCTAACAAGAGAAACTCTTCAGGACTAGAAAGAATGAGAGTATGTTAGTAGAACTGTACAGAGGTTGGGCCATCACCTGCAAGAGATATTAACAAGACATTCATGAAGAGTTTTATTGGATCATTTCTAAGGTTCTTTCCAATTTTGTGTCTATGATTCTATTTACTATTATTACTTTATTGAAATGGTTCTACTATGTGTGCATAGATCAACACCCACACAAATGCATACACACACACACACACACACACTCAGTGACTCACATTTCACTATATAACCAAATAAATCACATTCCAAAGTTTAAGCTCAGTTAGTTTGGACTGAGTTACTCAGTAGAGCTTATAGCTAGTTGAGATTAAGACTAAGACTATGGAATAAAATTGTCCTGTAGTTCATTTAACTTCTTTTTGGGAGAAAGTTGTTTCCACTCTGATTGCAAACCTGGCTGTAGTTTCAAATACAGTGTTGTATTTGATTACCCAAGAGTAAGTCACAAGAGACTATGCATAACGTGATATCATTTTTTTTTAAAAAGCTATGGTAAGTGCAGCCATTTTTTAAAAACTATGCAAAGCATATGCCTCTTGACACTAAGCTTGGAAACCCATATCGAACCATACAAGATGACCAGCTAAATTTGGTTATTTGGGTTAGTAAAGAATTAAAATATATGATGGTTTAATGATAAACAGACAAACTATCAGGAGACAAGTTTCCAATATCATCAATTACCTATTTACCCTTGATTTTTAATATGACCCAGTTTCTTTACAGAAAAAGAAAAAAAAATGCCAGATATATCTCATAGATTTTACATAAAAACTCCCTTGAATTTGAAGTATGTTTATCTTATCATAAGGAAGACCTTTCTTTGGGTCAAGGAATTCTTGATATTAAAAACAACACAGCATAAAATACAAAAAAGAATTCCTCCAGAGAAAGGTGCTTCTTAAATTATTGTTTAGAAAAAGATATGTTAGGAAGGCTTACTAAGGCAGATAATGGAGACACCATCTGTTAAATATCTATTGTTCCAATTGTTCCAAGGAGAAGAACACTTCCACATCCACTAAAGTATTAAGTAGAGAACAATCCTAGTGAACCGGAAAATATAGGTGTCAGTAGAGATGACAATGAGTATTTTTAAATGAAGTTGCATACTTTCCTTTTCTGACATTAGAGCATCCCTAAAGTTAGAGGTGTTTTATTCACTTGCATAATTTTCAAGAAGTTACTGGTAAAGAAGAACAATGTTATTTTTTGCCTCAACTCAAAAGGTGAAATTTATTATTGGAAATTCAGCAAATGGTGCAACATCTGCTTTCGAGCTCCGTCCCTTGATGCTTACTTTTTTACTGGGCTTTTCGTTTCTTTGAAATGTGCTAAAACAGCAATAGCACCTCCATTTTTGGACATTTAACGCACATTGGACATGTACTCATTTGGGTTAAAAAAATAAAAAGTTAAATAGACAATGAGCAAATTCTTCCATCTGGGTGGGAATAGCATGTTCTTGTTCTTATATGTTACTCATTTACCAAATGCCAATTTTCAAGTAGATGCAGATTTAGCATAATGTTTCTCTGTGCTATTACTATTTTTGTAGTGCTTTTTGCCATGGTTCCTATACATTATCAAATACCGTGAGGAACAAACAAGAGAAGACTTCATCTGTCATTGTTTTAATTAGTGGTGACCAACATTAAACATATGAAGTTAGTAGGCAGATTATGTTGCAACAAATATATTTAAATAAATGATCATTCTTGAAAAGCCCATCATTTTTTGGACATTAATCTTTTGTAATATTCTGTATATTTTGTTCTCACTTTGAGAATCATGATTCCAGCTAGAAACTTGTTCCGAGTATACAAAAGCTTTTGTCCCTTAGTAATACTGTATTGTACATTTGAAAATTGCCAAGAGAGTATATTTTAAAAGTTATCACAAGAAAAAAAGCTGTGAGGTGATGGATATTAACTATATACATACAAATGTTGAATCATTATGTTGTACACCTGAAAATAAAATGTTACCTGTCAATAATCTCTCATTTAAAAAAAAAAACAAAAAAACTCTTGTCTTGACCCTTTCTCATTTGGCACCACAAAGGGGGCACAGAGGAATCTGAGGAGGCGTAATAAGTTGATACATTCACTTTGCTAAAATTTCTGTGGGCTTTGTGCTTGAGACGGAAGATGCAATGGTGAATAAGATGTGGCATTAATGTCCAGTTCATTCACTTTTGGCTGGGTGAGAAAAGAAGTACAGATGATTATAATGCAATCTGAAGAGTGACTTTTAGAGAATTTTGTACAAGGTGTCATGAGGATTTCAAGGAAGGCTTCGTGGAAGAGGGGAGACTTGAGTGGATCT